TTCATGCTTAAAAAAAAAAAAAAAAAAGGAAGTAAACTGGTGAGGTGTTTTGGGTTGTTCTCATTTGCCATGGTACTACTACAGTTTTGGATAATATGGTTCAGAATGTTTCAGGAGTTTTTTAGGCAACACACAGATGGATAGTGTTCAAACTCAAGGTCCTTATTACTTGGGGCAGGAGATAGACATCCAGCCTACAGAAAAAAACAAAAACAAAAACAAAAAACAAAACGGAGCAAAGGGCTATGAGATATAGCTATAGAAACTATGGAAACATAGTTGGAAGCACCTGTGATTGACCTTGTAAACAATTGACCTTGTAAAAGTGTGTGTTTGTGTAGAACTACAGATTTTGGAATATTGAAGCCATAAGCCTAAGTGCAGAATATACAGTGTTACAGAGTATATTATATACATGGCTATGAATGCAGAATATACACCCAGGCAGAATGTTCAGTACAAATCACAAGGGTATGGTAAACTTGGAAACCAGAGTCCACGGAGAAGCTGAGAACACAGAGAAGTCTGAGGAAGAGACCACCACCAATGTTCATTTTAAGGTTTATGTTTAAAATGACCTAACTATATCATAGAAGAATCTTATGTTTGGGTTTTTCCCAATATAAAAAAGTATACAACTTTTTCATATGACATTGAAACTGGATGAATTAAGGAATCCAGAAAGACATGTCTAGAAATTTAATTTTCAAATATCTAACATTTGTATTTTCTTATGGTGAATAGTTAAGTATTTGCTGCAAATGCAGAAACAGTCATAAATATTTTATAAATATTCCTAAGTGGTATAGGAATATTTAGTACATAAAATTGACTCCTATAACTTATAATATACCTTCAATTGTATGTAATGTGTATCATTTGTGCTACAAGACTGACAAAATGAGAAGTAGCATAAAACATTTTCCAATTTGAAAACGTAAAATGTATTATAAGAAACACTACAAGCCGGTACCGAGGCTCACTAGGCTAATCCTCCGCCTAGCGGCGCCAGCACACCAGGTTCTAGTCCCAGTCGGGGCGCTGGATTCTGTCCCGGTTGCCCCTCTTCCAGGCCAGCTCTCTGCTGTGGCCAGGGAGTGCAGTGGAGGATGGCCCAGGTGCTTGGGCCCTGCACCCCATGGGAGACCAGGAGAAGTACCTGGCTCCTGCTGTCGCTCCCCCTCTTCGTGGAGGAACGACACAGGACCCTGCACTGTTCTTTTATCTGCTCGGCCCTTCCTGGGTTTGCTGCTGGCTCTTCCCGGGTTGGCTGCCGTCCCTTCCACCTCCGTGGAAGGGCGGTTCCCCCTGGCCACCTTCCCCACTTCCGCAGGGGAGCGGCACACCACCGGCCGGCTCTCTCGGGGGCTGCACAGGTGTTCGCCTTAGATGTTCCCCTTAGATGTTCCTGGTGCATGCCGTCTCTCTCCTCCTTTATAGTCCTCCTCTGCCAATCCTAACTCGGCTGCTCACACGCCGAGCACGCTGCTCTCCTCCAATCAGGAGCAAGTCCTACAGTTTATTGGCTGAACTGGAGGCAGCTGTGTAGAAGCTGTTTTCTTCTCTCCCAGCGCCATATTGTGGGAGAGCAGATGCATAGAATAAGTCTTAATTCCAGTAACTTAGTCTAGTCCGAGTTGCTCCCCACAGATCCCCCTTTCTTTTTATTTTTTGGCGTTGATACGCGCCTGTCTTCGGTGTCCCGCGGCACACTCTGCTCTACTTGCTAGAGTTGCCACAGGTTCTTACAAGTCCTATCAATCAGGCAAACCGAATCCGGGTCCTCTCTTCGCCATGTTGTGAGGAGGCCTATTGGTGTTGATTCGTGCCTATCTTCGGTGACCTGCGGCTCATACTCTGGTCGAGCCGCCTGCTGGTGCTTACCGCCTTATTAATCAGGCAGACCGAATCCAAGCCTTCTCATTGCCATGTTGTGGGGTGACTTATTGGTGTTGATAACGTGCCTGTCTTCGGTGACCTGCGGCGCATAAGCTGCTAGCCGCCCGCAGGTGCTCATTGCCTCACTAATCAGGCAGACAGAATCCAAGCCTTCTCATTGCAGTATTGTGGGGAGGCCTTTCTATTTCTCTATTTCTCTATCTCCGGGCATTCCTATTTCTCCCATTTTACTTCTGTCTGCCAACATTCCTATTTCTCTCATTTTACTTCTAAATTTCTGTTTCTCTTATCCCCGCGGCTTCCCGGCGCCCGCCCCGAGGCTGCTTCTCGGCGGCTCTGCGCGGCTTCCCGGCGCCTCGCCCTGCCGGCGCCCGCCCCGAGGCTGCTTCTCGGTGCCTCGCCGCCCCGCGTTCCCTATCTATTCACGCCCCGTGCTCTTTCTGCACGCGGCGGCTTCCGCGAGTCACACAGCCCCAGCTCACGTCTCCGCCACTAGTATTCAATCTAAGTTCCCCGGGCTAACCTGGCGAATTCAACCTAGCTCACGCGTCTGCGCCTTTCGGTCTGGCTTCTCGTCCTTTGCTCCTCAGGCTAATCTGACGGATTCCAACCTAGCTCATATGTCTCCGCCTCTAGTTTTAGATTTTCGCCTTTTGCCCCCCGGGCTGACTTGACGAATCCCAAACTGGCTTACGTTTCCGCCTCGGCCTGCCCCCCGTGGCTTCAATTTCCCTAACATTTTTCTCTACCCGGTATATTTCCCCAAGCTTTCCTCCAACAATACTCCTCCCTCATTTCTCCTGGCCTCTCCCCACAGTCCGCATCCGAGTCTGTTTGTTCTAGCTTTCACTTTCGCTTTCAACCTTAGAGATTTCTCCCAGCTTCCCCCCGTAGTCCGTATCCGAGTCTATGCCTAGGCTTTCAATAGCTTCTTCTGGCACCTTTTTCGTCCGGCTTTTCCCTAGGCTGTTTGCTAGTCTCTCTCTCCGGTATTTTCCCAGTTCTTCCTGTTTCTTCCCTCCTAAGTTTCCTAATCCGAGTCACGGCACCATTATGTCGCTCCCCCTCTTCATGGAGGAGCAACACTAAACCCTGCCTAGGCTTCATATCCGAGTCACGGCACCATTATGTCGCTCCCCCTCTTCATGGAGGAACGACACAGGACCCTGCACTGTTCTTTCGTCTGCTCGGCCCTTCCTGGGTTTGCTGCTGGCTCTTCCCGGGTTGGCTGCCGTCCCTTCCACCTCCGTGGAAGGGCGGTTCCCCCTGGCCACCTTCCCCACTTCCGCAGGGGAGCGGCACACCGCCGGCCGGCTCTCTCGGGGGCTGCACAGGTGTTCGCCTTAGATGTTCCCCTTAGATGTTCCTGGTGCATGCCGTCTCTCTCCTCCTTTATAGTCCTCCTCTGCCAATCCTAACTCGGCTGCCCACACGCCGAGCACGCTGCTCTCCTCCAATCAGGAGCAAGTCCTACAGTTTATTGGCTGAACTGGAGGCAGCTGTGTAGAAGCTGTTTTCTTCTCTCCCAGCGCCATATTGTGGGAGAGCAGATGCATAGAATAAGTCTTAATTCCAGTAACTTAGTCTAGTCCGAGTTGCTCCCCACACCTGCCATTGGATCAGCCCGGTGCGCCGGCCGCAGGGTGAACCAACGGCAAAGGAAGACTTTTCTCTCTGTCTCTATCACTGTCCACTCTGCCTGTCAAAAAAAAAAAGAAAAAAAAAAAAAAGAAAAAGAAACACTACAAAAGCTCATTTCTCTATAGTGACCCTTGATAGTCCCACTCGTATTCCATACTTTCTTTTGGAGACTTCCACAGTTAGTAAATAGGCATTTCTATATTCACATTCCCAAAACACTTAAACAAAACTGCATTATATACCTAATTATAAAATTTCAGGTTTAATTTTCAACATGAAAGGTTTTATGTTTTTCTAACTGTAGAAGAATATCCATCATTTATGAATTTTAATTTCATATTTATTTTTTTCATACATACTAATTTTCTTGTCTAAGACATTTTTTTAAATTTCCTTACTTCTTTTTCCATGTCATAAATATCCTTCTGAAGCCTTAATAGTTTATAGAGTCTCAGTATTTGGAAAAATCTTTAAGTTCTATGTGTCACATACTCAGACTGTTTATTTTAATAACACTGAAAATTATAGCGTATAAAAAGCATCCTCATGTTAAATGTTTTTTACACATCGCTGTTTTCTTACATCAAGTACTAGACAGAAAATTGTGGTGGCAACAGTAATGCAATTATTAACCAAATACATATTGCATATTCCTTGCATCTTACATAGTATTTGCCCTAGTAGTCTTATGTTTCTTCCACTTTCAAAGATTAGTTAAGAGATTTTATCTGAATTACACATAGATGTGTATAGGCCTAGTATGCAGGTCTTACAGAATATAAAAAATGTTTTCTTAAATTCCATAAAAGATTTAAGTATCTCCCATTCCCTAAGCTACCACTTGATTATTCTATTTAGTCCACAGTAGTTTCATACTAACATCTCCATGTGATGGGTATCTGTTTTCCTAGCTATGGGTTCATGAAGGTACAGACTTGGGAAGGATCATAACTGACATCTATAGGACTCTTTCCTCTTATTTTAGGAACCAGAAATCATGGATAATCACCAGATTATCTGGGTACTGCAATTATCTGACCCTGGAATTATCAATTTCTTGGGTTAACTGAGCCCTTAAGGATCTGCCATTAAGAAGGTTACTGAAACAACATGTCAGCTGAAATACTTAATTATGACTTTATTGTCACTTCTGATCACTACTGTAAAGAGATATTTTTCATCTTGCCCTCAAATACTGTAAAAAGTTTCATCTTTTATAAGAGACATGTACACTCAGTTTGAAAGTAAATCCATTCATGGCTACTATTTATCACTAATGTTACGAGAAAAATATGAGTTGACTTTAAAGACACTAAGATTTTAAAACTCCTGAAGACATGAGGTCCCTCAGTATTTGGAAAAGGTAAACGAGCTGAAAGAGTGACATTGGTTTTGTAGACAGTAATCAGATATCACTCAGTGTCATGGAAAACCAGTCAACTTGGTTAGAGTGAACTTACCTGGAGCTGAAGTCCATGGCGTCCTTCAAGGCTGGTGCCAACATGCTGTCAGTCAGAACCCCTTATCTGAAATATCACAGGCCAGGAACTGGTTGCCTTTTACTTCTTTCTGAAACAGAACAGACTGCCAGTCATTTTTTTTTTCTTTGCATGTCCCTTCAAGCATATTGAAATATTCATTATGTTATCTTTTCCTGACACATTAGAGACTCATTTATCAAAATGAGTAACAAAGAAACAAACCCTTCACCTTTATACTTCAATGAGTAATATAGCACCTGTATAAGTCAAAGGACCACCTATATTTCATCTGCAATAAAATGTTCTGATGAAAGGTTACTCATTATCTCAGTACAGTCATTCCTATCCATTATGATTTAAGTAATCGATGTGTTAATCTACAAAGCCATTTTCTATGTATTATCCTTGGGGCCTGTAAATCAAGACACTTTTTTAAACCCCAGAAAGACAAGTTCAGGGTTAGAAATATTTCATTCCGAGTTCCTTTTTTACCATGAAAAAGAATCTCGGCAGGAAACAGAATAATTCAACTCTATTAGTTTTATGTGTGTCCTTTTGAGAGACAAGGATGAGGAATTCTGAGGTCTCCTCCCACATGTCAGAGTGTCACTACTATAGAATGTTGGGATGCAAGTAAATGATTTGGGAATGTGATGAAGTCATAGGCTTGGCAATAATTTTAGAGCTGAGCTGCCTGTGAATGGTGTGTACCAGGAAAGATGGTTCACTCAACAACTAGAGCCATCTGGCCTTCAAAGCTCTCAGCCTTTGTAGTAACAAAGTGTTAACAACTGAGTAGTTTAAGGAGCTCTAACGAAACACCCAAGTGACAATGATGCAGCAATACACCCATTTTATTGTACGTTCAACACCTGCCTCACTATTGTTTTTGTCTACCTCCCTCTGCCCAGGACTTTGTGTCAGACTTTGAACTGGATGATCTCATGATGAGGACCCTGAATTTGCTGAACTTCTGAATGCTCACTGCCCACCTAAATCTTCAAAGACAAGACTGATCCGATTACTATACCCTACAGCTTCATTTACATGCCAGGGTACCCCATCTTTCTTCCTATTATGCCTACATGGAGCCAATTGGCCATTTGGACCACCACTTGACCCCAGTACCACCCTCTTTGAATAATATGGATCTGTGTATTTCAACACATGCAACACTTTATTCTGGTGTCAAGCTAGAATCTTTTTTTGTCCAGTTGTTAGTAACTCTGTTATAAGAGTTTTCCTTTGCAGTGTGATATGAAAGCCTTAAGGAAGGCCTGCTTGAATCACTTTATAATCCATACCTTAGGGACAATATTGTTCTGCCCTTGCAGAAACCTAAAATTTTCTAATTCTAAAATTTTCTTTTCTCATTCTGGAACCCATCTTGTTTCCTTTATTTCTTCTGCTATTGCCACAATAAGACTTTTATCAGTTCTCATTTAGATAATGACAATAACTTCTTGAACACTGATCTGGTACCAGATGAAAGCAGATGGCAGTTTAAATTAAGATAATTTGAGGAGAGCTTAGTATAAGGGAAAAAAAAAACATTTAGAGCATGTGGCTGTATATAGTGAAGCTGCAAGGGAAGGTGTGGTACAGTTATTCCCACTCCTAGACCTGCAGACATGAGAACAGGCATTGACATCCAGAAGTCAGAAATGCAGAAAGTGCCTCCCAGACAGGAGCAGTGACTTTGCCTGGGAGTCACAGATAGCCCAAGAGCACAGCATAGAAGGGAGTCTAAGCCTGAAACACTTATTTCCTCCCTTGCTACAAATGGAATAATTATATTGGACTGTATAGGCCAGGTTGCAGGCCACCCTCCAGGTTACAAACTAGGATGGAAAAAGATCTAATCTGAAAGGAGAATAGAGGAGGTCCAGCAAATACTTTTAATCATATTTAAGAGCATGGCCATTAGAATCAGTTGTACAGTTGAGTATTGCTATACCTAGTTGTGCAACTCTGAACAGATTACTTTCATAATTCTTGATATCATTTGTATAATGAAACTAATGTATATTTCAGAAGATTTTACCTTCATTTTCAGATTCATGTAGATTGCTCTAATATGCCATAAGTTATTCAATCAGAACTCTCCTCAAATTGCTTAAGAAATCTTGCTTCCATAACAGAGGTTATGATAAACAACTTCACATGCATAAGTTAGTACCCAAGAGGAGGTACATCTGTAGTATACATTCCTGTGAGTGCATGCGAGGAGGACAAGGGTTAAGTGTGCACATCCTATTTTTAAATATGGTACCACATTTACTTCCCTGAGAAACAAACCAATTTGTACTCCCACCAGAAATCTGTAAGACTGCATGAATGGGCAGATTAGGTTTTTGCAGATATAAAGTGACAAATGTTTATAGTGTCATTTTACCTATATTTAAAATTATGAGGCAGATTCAATGTCTATGACATTTAAGGGACATTTGTGTATTTTTTCCTATGAAATTTCAGTTAATATCTTTTGCCAATTTATATGTAAAATGCAGTTTAAAATTTTATGTGTTTGTAAAATGAAGCAAACCTATTAACTAGAACAGCAGAAATATTCCTGTGTTTGAGATTTTTTTTCAAGTTTTTGTCCCCTTAGAATCTTAGTCAAGAAAGTTTATTACAAAGAGGTCCCACAGTGCCCTCTGGTGGTATCCTGTTCCATTACATCTTCCTTGCACTAACTCCTGGGGCAAACACTCTAATTAGATAGTTTACTAGGGACTTTTCCTCAGCCTCCAAGCCCACCCAAGTCTCCTCAATCCTAAGAACATACGGCAGTACAACCAAATTGAAAGCAAAAGACAAATTAGAGCTACTCCAACCTTAACGAAGTAATTAATACCTGGAAGTTACTGGGTATGCTAACAGGATTTTTTCCTTCTTGGTTTCTTTTCAGAATGGCTCTAGCATATTTTATCAGTGGACTACAGTACAGACTCATTCTGGGCTGTAAGACTGTCATTCTTACCTATACAGAAATGGAATTAAAAGAGCTATCCTAATCCCCCAAATTTTGAGCATTTAAAATATCAACACGGTCAGAAGCCCCAAATACATTAAATTCCTCAAGTATTTGAAATATGGGTCATGTTTTAAGTCTTGTGATTTATCATTGAATATATGTAATCCTGTCCTTGCAGTACCTAACTTCTAGGTGGAAGAGACAGAAGATAGCAGAGAATAACTAACCAAACTGTGTCAAATTAGAAAACCTGACTTTATAAGTGGGGGAGCATATTTTAGTTTAGAAAGACAAAGCATGGACCTCTTTTAAAAAATGGTATCTGATTAAGGATTTGAAGGAGGAACAGAGTTAACTATGTGGAAGTCTACAGAGTTTTGTATGAAGCAGAAACAGCCCTAATCCCCTAGCATGCTTTGGAAATGTAGTGGATGCCTAAAACATACCCTTCCAGACTGAAGGACTTTACCCCGCAGCTGCTTGGAGTGCCAGCGGCAGACCACTGTGACTCAGGGAACTGCCCTCAGCCTGCCCTGATGCTGTACCAAGATCTCACTTAAAGGTATCTATTATCCAGGGACTGGACATACAGCATGAAGTCCTGGGCTGTTAACGATAGTGCAGAGCAGCAATATGTGCTGTAACTGAGGCCTACGCTGAGGTGACTCTGCAGCTCATCATCTCTGCTTCTGCATGCTCATCCCTGCTGTCCCGTTATCTTCTATGGATGTTGATTACTTTTACTTCTGTTGTATACTTACTGTATACAGATCTGTATGTTATTTGAAGAGTAGATAGTACAGGTACATATAATGTATACTCATTTCAGATATATTGGCTATCTACTATACGGTGGCACTAATTTTGATGCTTAGAGTAAAATGCAGCCAAATGCACACAGTTTTGTGACCATGTAGTGCTATCGCATGAAGACAATAATTAGGTAAGACACACTATATAGAATGTGACAATAAGTGCTAAGAAGAGAAAGCCGTAGAAATCTAAGAAATGCCTTGGAAAGGGTCACAGTTTTAGATAGAGTAGTGAGGTAAATCCTTTGTACGGCAACATTTGTGTAAGACCTCAACACTATGAGGAGTTGGGCACATGGAACTCAAGAGGACACTACAGGCAGAGGCAACAGGGAGAGCCAAGTCTAATGAGAGTCTAGAGACTGTTTAAAAAAATGTGTACCAAGGTTGTTTAAATAACTAGGTCAAATGCCCATCCTTGTTAAGGCTCCATTTGGGATGCCTATACCCAGTATCAAAGTTCTTGAGTTCAAGTCTTGACTCTGTTCACAATTCCAGTTTTATTCTAATGCATTCCCTAGAAGAAAACAGGTAGTAAGTCAAGTTGCTGCATTCTTGCTATGCACATGGGAGGTGCAGATTTTTTTAAAAAAAGATTTTGAGAGGTGGAGTTAGAAAGGTCTTCCCTCCACTAGTTCACTCCCCAAATGGCTGCAATGGCTGGAGCTGAGCTGATCTGAAGCCAGGTGCTCCCATGTGGGAGCAGGGGCCCAAGCACTTATGCCAACTTCCATTGCTTTTCCAGTCCATCAGCAGAGAGCTGGATTGGAAAAGGAACATCCAGGACACAAACTGATGTCCATATGGGATGCAAGCACTGCAGGCAGAGGCTTAGCCTACTCATTCCACAGCATGGGCCCCTGGATTGAGTTTTATCTCCCAGATTTAACCTGCCCAATCTCAGAGTATTTAGGGAATGAGCTAATAGATAGGAGCAGTCTCTCTAGCTGCTTCTCAAAGTTTAAAAACACAGTAATAAATGCAGCTTATCTTTTGGGGGGTTGGAATGAAGGTAGAAGAGGTACAGGCTCACAAGAAGTAATGAAACAGTACTAAAGGAAACGAGATATCAGCTTTTAGTCCAAATGTGATAGAAAGCCAATGGAGAGTTTTAAGTAGAAAATTAATGAGTCACTATGGCTAAATGTATAGATGAAACGGAAAGGCATTAAAATGAAAAAGATAATGAAAGGGGCTACGGCAATAATCTAGAAAGGATAGGTGTGACTTAGACCAGAGCAGAAACAGTGGAGGTGGAAGAAATGTCTGAAATATGAGTGCATTTGAAGGTTTAAGAGA